ACGGTCGGCAGCTGAGAGTGGTGACAGGTTGGTGGTTTGGCGGTGGGTATTTTTCTCGGCGGTGGTGCGGCTGATTTCGGGGTGACTCCATTGCTTAGAGTTGATGAAGTTGCATGCTCAGCCCGATTTACACTAAATTAGTGTAAATCAGATGTTATTACATATTTGTGTTTTTCTTAGCTTGCAACTGATTAGAACTTATTTGACTTAAAACTTATCATATTCTATCTTATTCTCTAAATTACCCCACTTAAGTTGCAATATTACCTTTCTAATTCACTATTTCAATTAAAATTTAATGCTCTTCTGCAGCATAGTGGAAGCATTTTCCACATTTCTTGTCTTTTCAGGAAGGTTTCAAGTGCTAGAAGTTATGCATATCTCGAGATTTTGCTAGTTTTTGTAGGTGTCATATTTATGTTCAAGCATATGATTATAGTCCCTCCCAATTAGCGTAAAAATGAATGGTTTTGGCTAATTTTCTATTAGATTTGTCGCATTCATTTCATATGTATAGTTTTGTAGCAATCACATTTATACAGTTTGTAATCTAGATATTTAATGGAGCTCTTTTAATTCCAGTGCAGATCTGTGTGTACCAAATTATGAGTTTAATTTTTGATAGAATTTTTAAATACATTTAAATAATTGATATTTCTATATCTGTATTTTGTAGATAGGTTAATGAGAATTGATCACCAAATATATAAGTTTGATCAACAATGAAGAAACAAAATGTTATGGGACAATTTCTGTACTAACAAAATGTTATGGGACAATTTCTGTACTGAGTTAATCATCACCTGGCCTTCTTATCTTGTTCAGCTTTTAATCATGGTAATCAGTGCTTAATTCTATATTACTCCGTATAATTTGTCTTTTACCTCATTTATTGATTTACGTATATTTTTTTTAAAATCTACTCCGTATTATATTTAGAGAAAATCCAAGTTTATACTCCCTCCTTCCCCGAAAGAACGACATATTTGGCCTAATTTTAGTCCCAAAAAGAATGATCTATTAACATTAAAATACCCACCAATTTGCAATAATTTTTGTGCAAAATTAGCTTCTGTATATAAAATTTTGTTTTTCCATATACTTTTATTACTATCAACTTTTTTTGTAAATTCCATGTAAATTTATCTTTCCAATATACTTTTACTTATTTTTATTTAACTTTATTAAGGGTCTGTTCTCTTACGTTGAAATTCAGCTCAGTTCAGTTCAGTTCAGCTCAGCTCAGCTCAATTCAGTTCAGTTCAGTTCAGTTCAGCTCCTAATTTCCTTCTCTTATAAAATATTCAATTCAGCTGAGTTCAGTCAATGAGAACAGGCCCTAATACCCGTGAAATCAACCCTAAATGGTCGTTCTTTCGGGGACGTAGGGAGTATTATTATTGTACGGAGTATTTTTATTTTTTTTTAAATTCAAAAGAGGCATAAATTATATTTCCTCCTTTTTTATTTTTTATTTTTTTTAAGTCGACACCTTTTTGATTTTTACACTATTCACACAATATCCTTTAACTCGCATTTGTGGTTTATATATACGATAAAATATATTCACGTGGGATCTTGTTTGAATCGCTTCAATGTATATTTTATTTGGTTATTTCACCAAATGCCACTTAACACTTTAATAATTCACTAAATGCCATCAAAGTTTTCAAACTTCACCAAATGCCACCCATTTTTCAAAAAATCCATCAAGTGCCATTAGGGTTTAATCATGACACACGTCATGATATGATTGGCCCATTTATCTTAATTTATAAGAAAACAAAAAAAAAACCCAAAATTTTCCCAGCCACCTACCCACCACCGCCAAACCCTAGCCCCTCCCCTTATCTCACCGAAAAAGGGCCGGCCACCCCTTAACCACCAAAAATCGGCCGGCCTGTCCTTTAGCACCCCAGCTAACCCACCGCCGACCCCCAAAACCACCCACACAACCTGCCCTAACCCTAAAAATCACCAACACAAGCTTTAATCAAGCACCCTCTCCTTTCCTCCGTCGCCAAAATCGCCCCTCCTTCCTTTCCCCACCCTTGAAATCGGTCGTTTTGACGGTGGGGCGGTTTTACGGGTGTTTTTTTTGAGGTCAGCGCAGGGCGGCAGTGTAACACCCCTGATTTACTAGCTAATAATAAACATTAAATAAAGGAAAAATAAACAACCTTTAAATAAAATTGCGGAAGCATACTCCTAAATCAGAGGTATTACCGCCACACTTGACAACCTGTCAAGTGTTAAGGCTTACAAAATCCCAATAATTACAACCCAATAATCTAGGTGAGCTATTTGTACAACTTTACAAACTCGTTATGACAAACTAATTGAAAACTTGAGCTCCTTTAGCTACGATCATCACTTGATCAACCTGTTAAAACAATCTTGACTGCTCACCATTAAGGACAAATTCCAAAATAGATCGTCGCAGGGCCACCATAAGAAAAAGACATGGCCACAAACATAAGTAGCACAACAAAATAACACACACGTCAGCAAAAGCTGAGTAATCACCACATATCAGAATATAGAGTATAATATAATAATTAACATTACTAGATCAATTAAACAATGTAGTTCGAAACTACATTACACATTGTACTCTGAAAAATAACCTTTATCAACTAAACCTCGAATAATAATTCGAACCTTTACTCAATATATCCCATAAGTGTGTCATGCTCGTTGTTCTATACATAGCCTTGAACATGGGTAATTCGAATAAAACCAACAAGTATAAAAACTTGAATACTCCCAATAACCAGAAAACACCTTGAACCAGACCACATACGGGTCAATTTCCACTGTAGGGGACCATAGAAAAATAAATAAAAAATAAAGATTGTACCTCATTCTTAACTCATGATTATTACCCTCTTACCAACAAGCCAAGGACTAAGTTATATAACGCCGAGCCTCAACCCAAGAACAAAACAATAATTCTCAACCATTTGATCTCATACATCGATCAAATAACCATTCACAAATTAATTTATAATATCTCAACAATGGCACCGTTCCCAAATATCATAACAATTCGATTCAAAAACATCTCAATTCTTATAGAACTAATACTAGTACCCAAAATTAATCAAATCTCCACCCGAAAATAATACTCTGCATTAACAATCCTAAAACCTCGATAAAACAATACTCCCTATAACAACAACATTAAAAACCCTAGAAATAACACAATCAATCAATGCGACAATTAAATCATATAATACCACACACTAATCATATACATATAAATCATGATCCTATATAATTCACAAATTATAAAATTTAGACATAACAATACGGAGTACAATTAATACCAACAATTTATAATCAAACAAATCAAAAAATTAATTAAGGTAATGTGATTACATAAAATAAATAATACAATCAAATTATAAACAAACGATCTAATTAAGGGTTGATAGTGTGATTACCTTCGACAAAGTACAACGGAATGACAATATTCAAGGCAAATTATATCAAGTGACGTGTTGCAATTTGTGTAGCTTTTCTATTGATCTCACCATATAATGATATAAATTATTATCATCATCATATTAAACATTAGATATGATGATGAGAATAAAAAGAAAGAAAAAAAAAAAAAAAAAATTGGTCTGGTTTGTTTCACGCACAGCCAAAGGAATGAATACAGGTTAAGTCTTGGCGCATAGCGCCTATTGATTTCTAAGCATATAGGATGACAATTTTGCAATTAAAAAGTACTATTCAGATAACTTATATTTTAGTGGTACATTATTCATGCATAATGGTACATTATATGTACCATTAGAGAGTCAGCTTTTTCAAGAAATTGAAAGTTATAGGATGGTAAAAAGTACCACTACACTCGTAATAGTCCACAAAACGTACTATTCAAACAAATTTTACTTTAATGGTACATTATACATGCATAATGGTGCATTATAATGTACCACTAGAGAGTCAGCTTATTCTAGAAGCAAAAATTGAATCAGCGGAAATTACTTCCTTACCCTCCTATTTACATAACTCGCCCATAGGTGCTATGCGCCCAAACTCACTCATGAATACACGGCTCTTTTTTTATTTTTTTAGTATCCAAGCAACAAGAATCCTACTTGATATTAAATAGGGTTTAAAACTTTCCGAACTCTAAATTAAAAATATGAGATTAGGAAAGTTATTTAATAAATAAAAATAACGATTATTTTTTTTTAAAAAAAAATATAACATAAAATCATAAAATATTCGGGTATTACAGGCAGGCTGTATGGGTAGTTTTTGGGGTGGGGGAATCTCGTATTGGTGGTTTTTGGGGTCGGGGCAGGTTGTGTGGGTGGTTTTGGGGGTCAACGGTCGGTTGGGTGGGGTGCTAAAGAGCCGGTCGACCAATTTTTCCAACCTATGTGTTGACATGTGTCACTCAAAACTAAAAAAAAAAAACCTTTATAAGAGGTTACCGATCACTTGTTTTCATTTTGAACGAGTGACTCCCAAAGTTGGAATTATTCAAAAATAATCCAAAGTTGAGATTATTTTGAACTATCAGTGGTCAATTTTTCCTTCTATGAAAAGGGAAATAAAATCCTTTATCCACCAAATCTGGCGCAAGACAAGCAATATATTATCTTCATACATCATACATTCAGATAATCAATACATAATCATAATCAACTACTTTATTTGCACGTTAGTCATGATGTACTCCTAGTGTTACTCTCCTGCACGATGAATTCCATTAACTTATTTTTATTTTATTTTATTCTACTATTAATGCAGTTTTAAATTAAAAATTTGAATAGAATCGGAATGCATGTTGATTCCAAATTCCCAATCGAGAATGTCAATTAAATAAAGAATAAAATCTAGATTTGTATAACCGTAAGTCATATTGAGCTGGATGCCGACGACTAACCAACAATAATTTGTACTTTATAATAATAGGTTGCATGCAATGAAATCTTACTAGTTACTATAAATAGGGTTCGGGTTGTAGGGTTAGAGGCATCCTCATTAAAAACTACTAGAGTTATTAAAAAAAAAGGCAAATAACTTTTTTAATCTTCTAGTAGTAGCTACTTTACTAAAATCCCAAAAATGGAGGGCAAGAAAAATTATGTATTAAAAGTATTTGTCGTTCTTGCATTAGGTAATTTTATAATTATGCTTCGTAACTATATTTCTAAATTAAAATTGTATTGAGTTGAAATTTTATGAAAAAAAAATAAAATTACGACGTTATTAATTATATGTTTGTTATTAAAATCTACAAAGTATTTTTTTTACTAGCCAATATTAATTTTGGTATGTATTGATAAATTTAAATTGCAGTGCAAATGATGTTGGTTGGAAATGTACAAGGATGTGCTGGTGTTGGAGAAGGTTGTGGGGCTTTTAATTGGTGTTGTAACGGAGGTTCATGTTCAGATTCCTTGAGTGGAGGTGTATGTGTATATGGTAAGCCTTAGCAAAGCCCCTATTAAAACGTCTATATCGATTTAGCCCTTTGTTGTACTCCGTATAACATATATGCGGAGTATAATGTAACATTATATATACTACCTCCGTTACAGGTTATGTACGTGCAACGATTTGACATAAAGCAGAGAGGGAAAATGTCTAATCGTTGCACATAACCTATAACGGAGGTAGTATAATACTCGGTACGTACGTACGAATTGAAGATAGTAATGCACGCTTCTGATGAGTGGGATGTTATTTTTGCAGACTCATTCTCAGGTTGCAAGGGGTTTGGGGAAAGTTGTGGATTTTTTGATGCTCCATGCTGTGGAAAGAGGGTTTGTTCAGCCACCCTTTCGGGTGGTACTTGTTCAGACTAACTGCGACGTCCAAAATCTTCAACAATATATTCTCAATTAATCATCATGGGATCATATATATATCTACTAAGGAGTAATATATATGCTACTGATGATAAGTAGTATTATTCCAGCATTATGTATGTTTTATTTGTCATATTTAAATTGTTGCGTGTATTTCACTTTTATTTCCATTTTAATCCCACTGCTCAAATTGTAATTGTCCCCAGTGGATTTGATTTGGAGTGCATAATAATAAGTTTTTTTTTTTAAGTATTAAGCATCGTTATCAATCTTATAAAGTATTGTACTGTATTTTGTTTGGATAGCACATGCACCTTTTTTTTAAAATATATTTTATATTTTGTATTAAATTTAACATTTTTGAAATTTAAATATTGGAAATTTCTACATTACAACTAAAATCTATCAACTTATCGTAGGAAATTGAAACAATTTTAAATAGGACACACTAATAAATGACCGACTTCATTGAACTATGAATTAGACAACATTGAACATATATTATATCATAATATTGATTAAAATTAAAAAAAATTAAAATTACAAAATATACGCAATTCTTATTTAAATTCATGTATAATACCGTTTATTTTTAAAATGTACAAATTAAAAATAGGTTTTATGTAAACCATGCATCGCACGGGTCTAACCTAGTGTCAAATAAAACAACCTTTAAATAGAAAAAAAAAACATTGTATTTTGGTTTACCTGAAATGGAAATGAGGCTTTATATTAAGGAACGGATGGGGTATTGTATAAGTATTAATTTAGGAATCTATATTTCTGAAAAAAAAAATCCATCTATCTTTAAAAAAAAAACAAAACAAAACTTTCATCAATCTTTAAGAGCTTTTTTGGTGCAGCAGGCCACACGGTGTGGCCTGCTGCCAAGTCAGTAAAAATAACGGATTATGCGCGTATAACGGGGTTACTGTTCACTCGTATAATGGGGTTATTGGTTTTGTCAGGGTTAGTTACTTGTATTTTTTTTTCAGAGATTACTTGTATTTTTTTTTTTCAGAAGTTACTTGTATTTTTTTTTTCAGAGGTTACTTGTATTTTGTTTTCAAGGGTTACTTGTATGGATTACTTATTCAGAGGTTACTTGTATTATTCAGGGGTTACTTATATTTTTTTTAGAGGTTACTTGTATGGATTATTTATTCATGGGTTACTTGTATGGATTACTTATTTAGGGGTTACTTGTACTTTTTTTTCAAGAGTTTCTTGTATTTTTTTTCTTCAGGGGTTATCTGTAATATTTTTTTTCATGGGTTACTTATATGAGTTACTTATTCAAGGGTTACTTGTATGAGTTACTTCAAAGGTTACTTGTATGAATTACTTATTCAAGGGTTACTTGTCACTTATTCAAGGGTTGCTTGTAAACCACATACCAAACCAGTAACACCCTACAAGTAACCCGGCCTTGAGCAAAACTAGTAACACCCTACAAGTAACTCCTAACCCAATTAATAACACCCCACAAGTAACCCTTGATAAAGACTAGTAACACCCTATAAGTAACCCCTAACCAAACCAGTAACACCCTACAAGTAACCCTTGATCAAAACCAGTAACACCCTACAAGTAACCCCTGACTAAAACCAGTAACACCCTACAAGTAACCCCTGACCAAAACCAGTAACACCCTACAAAACCAGTAACACCTTACATGTAACCCCTGACCAAACCAGTAACACCCTACAAGTACCCTTGACCAAACTAGTAACACCCTACAATTTTTGACGTAGAATATTCGTTTTAAGATTCCACGAAGAAAACGAGCTCACATTTCTTTGGTTCTCATCGATTTCACTACTTTAAATGTTGTTGATGATCTTAAGGATAATTAATCACAATTTTTCACAGCAAATTGACATACAATTTCTACAATTTTGGGCTTTAATTGCAGCAATTTGGTAAAGAGGAGAGAGAAAATGGGTGGAGTAGAGATATGGTTGTTGGTGATGTGTGGTTTGGTTTGTAGATGAAGCTAAGAAAAGAGGAGAGAGAAAATGGGTAGAGTAGAGATATGGTTGTTGGTGATGTGTGGTTTGGCTTGGAGAAGAAGATAGGAAAAGAGGAGAGAGAAGAGTTGTGGTATTTAAAAAAAAAAATAATAATAGAAATTGTGGCTGGCCATGTGGCCAGCCACATACAAAAATTTGTGTTATTATTTTTATTTTTAGGAAAATCAATTTTTATTATTTAGCTTATCGAGATTGATAAATTACTTATATTTCACACGCACGCATTTTTCTTAGCTTGCAGATATACTGATTAGAACTTATTTGCACTACAAAAAAATGAGAATAGGCAACACTTAAGATTGCAACACTTACATAAATGTTACTCTTAATAATCTAACGCAACAATACTTATTTGTTACCTTAAACTAAAGTAACAGGAAAAAAAGTGTTGCTCTAGACTATATAAGGCAACAGTGGCTTAAAGTGTTACCTTTTTCTTGTCTAAGACAACAAATATAATAATTGTTGCATGAAAAGATAACAATAAAAAAACTATTGTTTGAAAAATGTAACATTAATATTTATGTTGCCATCTATAGCAACATTTATATTAAAATGACAACATATATATATATATATATATATATATATATATATATATATATATATATATATATATATATATATATATATATATATATATATATATATATATATATATATATATATATATATATATATATATATATATATATATATGAGCAAGTTTGGTAGAGTTGGTGGGGAACTCACCTTGTGACTCTGAGATCACAAGTTCAAGCACTACTAAATGCTTGGGAGTGACAACATTTTTGAATTATCTTCTTATATGGCAACATTTTTCATTTGTCTTATGAATAGACAACGGGGGCATAAATTACGCCTCATATGTGTTGTCTTAGCTACAAGGCAACACTTTTTTTATATTAGCCAATGGTTTTGCATTGTTACCTTTGCTTTATTTTGTTGTAGTGTTGGCTTAAAACTTATCATATTCTATCCTATCCTATAAATTACCCCACTTCAGTTGCAATATTACTTTTTTTTTTTTTTTTGACAAGATACCTTTCTAATTCACAAATCTTTGCATCATCAACTTATAAAATGAATATATTATTGATTTGGGATGGAGGCCAAAGGGGAACATTAAACTTCACTTCATTCTAGTAAAATCGATCGCATCAAATCATGGTCGATCGTCTTCACACCTTCAAGTGAGGCACAACTGCACAAGTCATATTCGTCTCCAAATCAATATAAAAAGTTACGGTATGTAGTACTAGTATGTAAGATATTATTCTAGCGCAAATTCACTCCAACATCAGTAATCAATTACAGGTCTATGACTTGAGTGCAGCCAACAATAGAGGTGTCAAAACCAAACGGAACCCACCCGAACTTAAACAAGTGTAGGCATGTAGCACAAGACGAACTTAAAACGAACTTAAACAAGAGTGTAGGCATGTAGCACATAGCAATATTAATTGCCAGATTTGCCACTGTATTATTCCACATAAACAGAATCAGCATTCATAGCTGTCGTCCGTCAAATCTGGCGGAAGACAAGCAATATATTGTCAAATCTCACAGATTATACATTCATCAGATAATCAATACATTTTCAGCTCCTTAATTCGATCATACTGTATGGTATATGTATATTGTATATAAATATACACATTAATGCTCAACCATTCTTACTTTATTTTGTCAAACCTACTCTGACGTACTCCTAAGTCCAAATATTCGTATAGATTGAAATAAATTTATCAAAATTTCTAAGATTTATTATGAGTAGGTTTATTTCTTAGGCAAATTGAGTCGAGTTAATTTTATGTTGGGAATCTCAATACTAACAAAACCTGTTTAACGGTTTAAGTAAATGTGAGGTGTCATGCATGTTAACATGATATTAATCAAACGTATTGAGAACCCTCGACAATAACTCAATATTTTCGTGTCCAATTTGTGTCGTTTCAACTTTAGACAGCTCTATCTAATTTCAAATAGGTTTACTCCCAAATACGAAGTACAAATCAAAAAATTAAATAAAGTCAATAATAAAAATTTGAGATAGTCCAAATTAAAGTCAAAACAAACTAACATAAAACGGAGGAATTGAAGTACACACTACTATATTTATTAGGTATATAAAACTTTGACTACAATATTTCACTAAATTATTAAAAATATATATTAGGAAACAGATGTATGTATGGTAGACCATAAGGCTACATATAATAAGAAGATAAAATTGGAAACAATAGATAGGCATAATATATTATCGTGCAAAATGTTACTCCCTTCGTTTTATAATTTTAGTCCCACATACTATTTTGGACGTTTCAAAAAAATCTACGTACCCATATTGAATATATTTTATTTATAACTTGATTTTTTTGGAATTAATTGATTGTGAATTGATTACAAGACTCTAAGTAAGGAAATATTTATCTTAAAATTATGCAATTATGACTTGTATTTTCCTAATAAAAAATCAAAAATTTAAATAAGGTAAACTAATTATGAATTATGTTGTACTTTAATGTTAGATGCCAAATATATTTCTTTTCTTATTTTATGTGGCTGATTCCATATGAGACTAACATTATGAAATGGAGGGAATACTCCGTATTAAATAGGTGTTAATATTAAGTTTCATAACATCACTTTTAGTCAAATGGTGCACTAACAAGTATATCAACTTTAATTGTGTCAATTATTTAAGAATCAAATTAATATAAAATAATAGTTAATGCATTTTCCTACCTTATAAAAAGTATGTATGTCAACTTTGATTATTGTGTCAATTATAACTCTTAGGAATAGTGTGCTACTTATGTACAAAAATGTGTACAAAATGTGTATTTACTTTTTTACCCTCATTAATATATTTACTCTCATTAATATATTTAGTGTTTTTTTAATCATTAAACATATCATCAATTAATTCAAAGTTGTTTCAAAAAAAAAAAAAAAATTAATTCAAATTTTTTTTTCACAAAAAAATTAGCTATGCTTTTTTATTTAAGAACTTAAAAATCTTAAAATCAAGGGATATCGATGATAGTAAAAAAAAGAAATTAAAAAAAAAACCCTGACATTAATTATGGAGAGATTTTAACAGAAAAAATATAACTAATTGGTTATTGCTTTAGTGTATATATATATTAGATGGTCGTAGAACATTAAAAAATTATTAAGTTTATAGGTACAACGAACATTTCACATATTGTTACTCCAT